TGTCCCTCCATGTCCCTCCATGTCCCTCCATGTCCCCATGTCCCTCCATGTCCCCATGTCCCCCACATGTGCCACCTCTCCCCATTCCCATCCCCATCCCCTGGGACACCTGGGGACACCTGGGGACACACAGGGAACACACTGGGGCACACAGGTGACAGCTGGGGGCACACAGGGGCACGCAGGTGACACCTGGGGACACTCAGGTGACACTTGGTGACACTTGGGGACACAACGGGGCCGTACCTCAGCTCGAGGCAGCCCAGCTGCAGGGCCATGCCCTCGCTGACCTTGCTGGCGTAGCTCTGCATGTACTCGCTGCGCACCTGGGGACAGCGGGGACACTCAGGGGACACTCAGGGGACATCGGGGACACCCTGGGGACACCCTGGGGACACTCAGGGGACATCAGGGACACCCCGGGGACACCCTGGGGACACTCAGGGGACATCGGGGACACCCCGGGGACACCCCAGGGACACCCTGGGGACACCCAGGGGACAGCACTGTCACCACCCAGGGGACACCGGGGACACTCAGGGGACACCCCGGGGACACCAGGGACACTCAGGGGACACCGGGGACACTGAGGGGACACTGGGGACAGCGCTGTCACCACCCAGGGGACACCGGGGACACTCAGGGGACACCCAGGGACACCCCAGGGACACCCAGGCACCCCCCCGGGGTGGTGACAGGGGACAATGACAATGACAGGGACACTCCCATAAACCACCCCAGGGCCACAAAATCCGGGAATCCTGGGAATTCCGGGATCTGGATCTGCTCCTGGGAATCCCGGGAGATCCGGGATCCGGATCCGCTCCCCACTGCCACAAAACCTGGGAATCCCGGGAGATCCAGGATCCGGATCCGCTTCCCACCATCACCCCAGAGCCACAAAATCCAGGAATCCTGGGAATTCCAGGATCTGGATCCACTCCCCAGGGCCACAAAACCAAGGAATCCCAGGAGATCCAGGATCTGGATCCGCTCCCCACTGCCACAAAACCCCGGGAGATCCAGGATCCAAATCTGCTCCTGGGAATCCTGTGAGATCCAGGATCTGGATCCGCTCCCCAGGGACACAAAAACCAGAAATCCCGGGAGATCCAGGATCTGGATCCGTTCTCCACTGCCACAAAACCCAGGAATCCCGGGAGATCCAGGATCCAGATCTACTCCTGGGAATCTCGGGAGATCCAGGATCCGGATCCATTCTCCACTGCCACAAAACCCAGGAATGCTGGGAAATCCAGGATCCAGATCCGCTCCCCACCACCACCCCAGAGCCACAAAACCCAGGAATCCTGGGAATTCCAGGATCCGGATCTGCTCCCCAGGGCCACAAAACCCGGGAATCTCGGGAATCCTGGGGATCTGGATCCACTCCTGGGAATCGCGAGATATCCAGGATCTGGATCCATTCTCCACTGCCACAAAACCCAGAAATCCTGGGAAATCCAGGATCTGGATCCACTCCTGGGAATCTTGGGAGATTCAGGATCTGGATCTGCTCCCCAGGGCCACAAAGCCTGGGAATCCCAGGAGATCCAGGATCCGGATCCGCTCTCCATGAACCACCCCAGAGCCACAAAACCCAGGAATCTTGGGAATTCCAGGATCCGGATCCATTCCCCAGGGCCACAAAACCCAGGAATTCCAGGAGATCTGGGATCTGGATCTACTCCTGGGAATCCCAAGAGATCCAGGATATGGATCTGTTCTCCACTGCCACAAAACCTGGGAATCTTGGGAATTCTGGGATCTGGATCCGCTCCCCAGAGCCACAAAACCAAGGAATCCCAGGAGATCCAGGATCTGGATCCACTCCTGGGAATCCCAGGAGATCCAGGATCCGGATCCGCTCCCCACTGCCACAAAACCTGGGAATTCCAGGAGATCCAGGATCCAGATCTACTCCTGGGAATCTCGGGAGATCCAGGATCCGGATCCATTCTCCACTGCCACAAAACCTGGGCATCCCGGGAGATCCAGGATATGGATCTGTTCTCCACTGCCACAAAACCTGGGAATCTCGGGAGATCCAGGATCCGGATCCGCCCCCCAGGGACACAAAACCCCGGGAATCCCGGGAGATCCAGGATCCAGATCTACTCCTGGGAATCTCGGGAGATCCAGGATCCGGATCCGCCCCCCAGGGACACAAAACCCCGGGAATCCCGGGAGATCCAGGATCCAGATCTACTCCTGGGAATCTCGGGAGATCCAGGATCCGGATCCGCCCCCCAGGGACACAAAACCCCGGGAATCCCGGGAGATCCAGGATCCAGATCTACTCCTGGGAATCTCGGGAGATCCAGGATCCGGATCCGCCCCCCAGGGACACAAAACCCCGGGAATCCCGGGAGATCCAGGATCCAGATCTACTCCTGGGAATCTCGGGAGATCCAGGATCCGGATCCGCCCCCCAGGGACACAAAACCCCGGGAATCCCGGGAGATCCAGGATCCAGATCTACTCCTGGGAATCTCGGGAGATCCAGGATCCGGATCCGCCCCCCAGGGACACAAAACCCCGGGAATCCCGGGAGATCCAGGATCCAGATCTACTCCTGGGAATCTCGGGAGATCCAGGATCCGGATCCGCCCCCCAGGGACACAAAACCCCGGGAATCCCGGGAGATCCAGGATCCAGATCTACTCCTGGGAATCTCGGGAGATCCAGGATCCGGATCCATTCTCCACTGCCACAAAACCTGGGCATCCCGGGAGATCCAGGATATGGATCTGTTCTCCACTGCCACAAAACCTGGGAATCTTGGGAATTCCGGGATCTGGATCCGCTCCCCAGAGCCACAAAACCCAGGAATCCTGAGAGATCCAGGATCTGGATCCGCTCCAGGGAATCTCAGGAGATCCAGGAGCCGGATCTGCTCTCCATGAACCACCACAGGGCCACAAAACCTGGGAATCCTGAGAGATCCTGGATCGGGATCTGGTCCTGGGAATTTCGGGAGATTCAGGATCTGGATCCGCTCCCCAGGGCCACAAAACCCGGGAATCTCAGGAGATCCAGGATCTGGATCCACTCCCCACCACCAACCCCGGGCCAAAAACCCCGGGAATCCCGAGAGATCCAGGTCTGGATCCACTCCTGGGAATCCCGAGATATCCAGGATCTGGATCCGTTCTCCACTGCCACAAAACCCAGGAATCCTGGGAAATCCAGGATCCGGATCTGCTCCCCAGGGCCACAAAACCTGGGAATCCCAGGCGATCCAGGATCTGGATCTGCTCTCCATGAACCACCCCACAGCCACAAAACCCAGGAATCCTGGGAAATCCAGGATCCGGATCCTCTCCCCAGAACCACAAACCCCAGGAATCCCGGGAATCCTGGGAGATCCAGGATCCGGATCCTCTCCCCAGAACCACAAACCCCAGGAATCCCGGGAATCCCAGGAATCCCGGGAATCCTGTGAGTCTACCTGCTGGTAGAAGTAGAGCAGCGTGGTCCTGTCCTCCTGGAAGCGCTCCATGAAATCCTCCGGCAGGTACCGGATCTGGAGGTCGTACCTGGAGGGGGCCAAAAAAAAAAAACAACCCGGGAGCCGCTCCCTCGGGAGCCCATCCCGCTTTTCCCGGGAATTCCGGGAGAGGCGGAGCGGCGTTCCCACCTCCACTCGGCTTCCAGGTGGAGGCACTCGTATTTTTCCTGGACTTCTCCCACGGTCAGGTGGGGATGGAGCCAGTGGATCTCGTCCGACTTGACGTGCTTCAGCCTCAGGCCGTAACAGGCGGCCAGCCGGATGTCCGGCCCGATCCGGCCGCTCTGCAGGATGGAGCGGATCACCTCCTGGGAAAAACGGGAATGACGGGAAATGATGGGAAATGATGG